TTTTTTTTTAAAAGGAAAAAAAAAAAAACCCCCCGAGGGGCCCCTTGGGGTTTGGGCGCCGCCGCGGGGGGAAAAACGGGGGGTTTCTTTTTTTGGGGGGCGGGGAAAGGGAGGCCCCGGGGGGGGGGAGCCCTTTTGGGGGGTGGCCCCAAAGGCTCCCCCCGGAAAGGGGGGAGGGGGGGGAAAAAAGTCCGCAGAGAAAAGGGGGAAGCCCTTTGGGGGTTGGGGGGGGGGGGGGGGGGGGGGGGGGGGGTATTACTGTTGGGGGGGGGTGGGGGGGTTTTATTGGTCTTTTCCCGGGGGTGGCCTTCAGGTTTTTTATGCCAGGGACTTTTGGGGGGGGAAGGGGGGGGGGGGGGGGGGGGAGTTGCGGGTATACAGGTCGCACGCTACAGCAAGACGACGCACTTATTTCTGTACCCAGGACCACTACTACACCACGACACAAGCAGGTTGATTGTTGTTGCGAACAGCAGCAGGAACATCAAAAGCAAGAACGGGGCGGGCACTGTCCCGTCTGCGGAGACCCCTCAACCACCGAAGGCACCCGACCCGATGAAACGACAGCAGGAGCAAACAACCCAGCCGAGACAGAACCGGGCCATTGTTTTTCGGGCCCGGAGCATGCGTACCGGAGACCGTTAACGTTCTCGAAAGGAGGAGGAGGGAGGAGGGGCCCGCGGTCAGCAGAGGCTACGATAAGCCCGGTTGCCTTGTACTCGCTGGCTACAGTAGCACTCCCAGATCAGTAGAGTAAAACGCGTTTTCTGCGATCCTGCAAATCGGACTCCCTTTCCCACGACGGCAACGCAATCATCTAGAGTACCTAGCAAGCAGGGAGCTTTCTCACCCGGCCATAATGGGGAAGTGTTCGTGTGTTTCGCCCTGGGCAGGCTCCCAGATGACCTCATCTACTACCCCGATCTCCTTCAGCTGATCTGGAACAATGGTGCAGGGCAACCAACGACAGAACAGAGAGACCCGAGTAAAAAAATTGGCACATTAGGGCACATTAGAGAGCAGCACCAAAGCGGGAAAGAAAAGAGAGCTATTATACTGTAGAGGGATTAATTCAATCAATGGATACACCGGCAGGGGGTGTAGAACAGGCTACAGTTTCTACACCGCGTCGGTGCCCGAGGCAATGCCGAACGCTCATCAGCTGCCAAGTCTGTCTACTAGTTCACGCCCAACGGCGTACGATATTTGAGAAACAAACACGATAAAAAACAGAGAAGGATCACGACCAGATCAAGGGTCGCCCCGCGAGCAAAGGTCGCCAACCTCCATGCACGCGGCAGTCCCATCGATTCAAGCGCTAAATGTATGAAACGAGTCTTGTACAAAACAACAATATCAAAGCACACGGCATAGCTGCTGTCCGTCTCTCCTCCCTTCCTTCGTTCTCACTTGCGTAGATCTGCTGAGCGGTGGCGAGCTCCTGGCAGTCCTTGGGGAACTGCTCCGCCTTGTGGGCATCGTCCTTGTAACGTCCCAGGATGGACGCGGCGCCCTCCGGCGAAATCTGCCGAAAACAAAGACCGCGTTTCGCGCAGACAACCGGGCAAGGGGAGGTCATGACAGGGGGGGGGGGGGGGGCGCGCGGGGGTTTCGCACTGGCAGCAGTTGTCTCTTTGTCCCTTCTCCCCACGCGCTCAACAGCAGGCTAATCCACCGCACGCTTCACCCTGCGACCAACCTTCCCACGACAAAACCTCGTCCTCCCACCACACCAAATCAAATCGGTCGCTTGCCTGATTGATGCCCCATCCTCTTAAAACCCTCAAAAACTGCTGTGCATTCGTTCCGATGCAATCGGCTCTTGTACCCCCCAAACAACAAAAACGAAAGCAGCTGAGGACGCGTCGAGACGTTTACCCCCGACCGAGACACCAAGAGGGAAGAGAGAGGGGGGATAGCACAATCGTCTCACCACGCCGAAGTACGCGCGGGAGAGCATGCCCACGCGGTTGCCCATCCCCACGCCGAGGGCCCCGCCGGAGCCGCCCTCCCCCATGATGAGCGTCACGATCGGGACCTTGAGCCCCGCCATGGCCGTGAGGTTGGTCGCGATGGCCTCGCTCTGCCCATCCCGCTCGGCCTGTTTCATAATATATATATTTTTTTTTCAAGCGCCCCGTGGAAGATACGGTTGGTGTCTCGGGGACCGTCTTTTCTTTTTTTCTTTTCAATTGTTCTTTTTTTTGGTGTCTCGGGGACCGCCCTAGCGAGCACTTAATTATCAACAGAGAGGGGAGTTTCGCATCTCTATCCCTAACCCGCACTCGGTACCCCCTACAAAAACAACGCGTAATATCCTCGAGGCTACTGCTATGTTTCGGGGTTGGGTCGGGGTACGAGCCAAGGCAGTTAACACCCTAGCAGAGCAAAAAAACACAGCGAGTAGAATCGTACCACCAGCGGTAGTAATGCGGTGGTCGCGGCAAAGCGGCACGCTTGTTATTAGTGCGGCAGCAGTGCCGGTACTGTTATAATAGTGTTGTGTTGAAAGAGATGCAGTACCCTCTCGGTCTGGCCGGTATCCTGTGGCATCCCATCCGACGGTTCGGCTCGGTACCGTACGGCTAAATAGATCACCGCAGAAAAACTCACAGCTACCGCACCTAGGTCGCCCCAGACACGGCACCCCCCTGCGTACTGTACCGATCTGCAACGTTCGATTACCTATATATGCTTACTTCACAAACGGAGAGGAGTACGCCGAAAAACGAACGATGACACGTTTGTCGGAAGGGGTCTCCAGGAGAAAACGGTTTCAACACCGCCGTTGGCGGCACCTTCACAGTAGTTTCTCGCTGCGGAACATCGGTACAGGGGGTAGGTACCTTATGCAACCTACGGTTACTAGTGATAAAATAAATAGTACACACGGCAAATCAAGCACACGCTTCAGCCACAAACGCCGTCATCACACCCCACAGCGCCACGTGTTTGCTGCAAGCACTGACCGACGGCAAAAGGCGAAAAATACACACATACCTCGAAAGAAGGCCAGGCGCCGCAGGTGTCCACAAGGGTCACCACCGGCAGGCCGAAACGCTCGGCCAGCTGGAACAGGCGCAGGGCCGTTCGGTACCCCGCGGGGCTTGGCATGCCTGCGCAAACACACACATACAAAATAGTTAGGGACGGGAAGGTGAAAACCCCGCCGCACGTCAAGTCAATCCAACGGAGCGATCGCGCACAGGCGGACTCTCACCTATTCATTCATCTCACCATTTTACATGAATTATCATGGGCCAAACGGAGACACGACCTAATTCCATTCCTGGTGTTTTCACTTCCAGAGACAGCCAAGTCATGGGCACTGTGTAACTACCTCGAGGGTGCTCCACCAATTGAACACAATGTGGTGCGATCATCCCCCCCGTTCGCGCGCGGAGTGGGGTACCGGCATGTTCTGTTGTAAGTTCGGGCAGGGGCTACCACACAACCATGACGACCACCAAATACACCAGCAGCACCCCTACGGTACAACCCGTGCCGCTTTCTGCCCCCCCCCCCCCCCCCTCCATAGGCTCTCGCCGTAAGTGCCCACCGTAGTTGGCGGCCTGCATGTCTCCGGGCGTGTGCCCCTTGACAGTGCCCATCACCACCACCGGTGTGCCTCCGATGCGCGCCAGCCCTCCCTTGAGGCAGAAGTCGTCCGACACCTGTCTCGGAGATAAAAAAAAATAACGCGTGTGTACATACATACACCGAGTACAAAAATTAAATGTGTGCTACTGCTGTCATTTTCCCCCATCGACACCTGTCTCGGAGATCAAAAAAAGAACGCGTGTGTACATACACCGGAGCACAAAACAAAATGCGTGCCACTGCTGTCATTTTTCTACATCGACACCTGTCGAGGTACACAGAAAACGTATACTTGTATACGGGGACATACATGTGTGTTACCGCTGTTTTCTTTGCCCCCTTGCGTGGCATCTACAGGCGGAAAATTGTCCCTGTGTTGTCTTCTTCCTGCGTGTCACCCCCGGCTGTGATACTACCGAGATACCATGTAGAGGGTGCGTATACACCGAGCGTACTGCAAAAACATTGCCCGATAAAACACCACACAAGATTGAAAAAAAATCGACCACGCAGAGGTAATGGGGGATTTTCATTACTCAGCAGCCGGTCCGCATGGTTGACATGAACTCAACAACCGCACACATACCAAAAGAGACAGGTACGCCCCCTCCCCCTCCCGCCGGCGCATACCTTGCCGTCGCCGCAGAGCTCAATGAAGTCCTCCAGCACCTCGGACATGACGTCCTGTGCCTGGTAGCGGTCAATCTTGCGCGCGAGCGTGTAGTCGAGGGCCGCCTCCATGTCCTCCTTCGTCGGGGGCACCGCGGGGGCGGGGGGGTCCCCCTTACCCCCCTCACTACCGGAACCGAACAGGAGAGACACGATGCTCTGCAGGCGTTCCTCCACGGCCTCCTGCGCGTCTTGCCCTTCTCCTGGCTCGACGATCAGGTCCAGCTGTCCGTGCGCCTTCACGTACTCGGAGGACTGCAACAACAAATTTAACGTCGGATTCCACTTTGTTGGTTTATTTTTTACTGACGGGTCGGTTTTCGTGAGGGCACACAACAAATCCAACAAAACTCAGCAGATCCCCACGTTTCTTCTTGGATTTCGGGTCGTCGGCCGGTGTTTTGGCGAGGGCATATATACAAATCCAACAAATTATCAGCCAGCCTAATCAAAATCTACCCGCCCAACCAGGCATGCATACGTCCACCCAACCCTGAACTTGACTTCGAACGTCGGCGCGTCCGCACCATCTAGAAAACAACTGGTAGTTTAGACACCAAATACAACTATCATTGCCGACCAAAGCCAACGGTCGCTTTCATGAGTGGCACCGCTGTACACAAAACTCAAGGCTCGGCTTCACGGTCGACGAGGGTAAGAAAAGAGACTGCTGAATCGTCCTTCTCGTTATGGAAGATCTCGGTAAGGGTCAAGCACCATCGCAGAACAAAGGTGGAGGAAAGGGACCCTACAAATCCTGGGGGGCCCTACACACTCCCCTTCTCATTTGACACCCCAGCTGGTGCGCCTACACACAAAAAAAATACACCGAACAAGAAAAACAACGAAAGGTATATATATAGCCCGACTGACGTCTGCCTTTGATTGTAGCGTCGGGCCGCATTATGTAGTCGGCTCATTGAAGAAAAGAAGTCAGGATTTGCAGCGGGATAAGAAAACGCGAACAAACACGCGAATCTATTGTAAGGGTGCTACCGACAGGTGGGGGGGGGGGGGGGGGGGGGGCAGAAATTTGACGGCCCTTTCCCGTTTTTTAAAAAAAAAGAAAAAAACCCAAACCCCCCAACAATTTTGGGGGGCCCACCTTGGTTTCCCCCCAGCCAAAAAAATTGGGGGTTTTGGGGGGCAAAAATTTTAACTTTTAACCCCCCTTTTCGGGGGAACAAAGAAAAAAACCTAATTCCCCGGGGGCCAAAAAGGGGAAAACCCCCCCCACACGAGTTTCCCCCCCCCTACCCCCACCTCCCCACCCGGGGGGGGGGGGTCTATTCCCCCCCTTCCCCGGGGGTCAAAAATAAAACCCCCCCCCCAAAAAAAACCCAGTCCCCAATCCCAAAAAACAACCCCCCCCCCCCCCCCCCCCCCCCCCCCCAAAAACCCAAAACCCCCGGGAAAAAAGAACCAAAACCCCCCCCCCCTCGGGAGTTTTTGGGGGCCCCCCCC